CCCCCCCCATGCTGCTCTTAGTCTTCAAACTGTCAAAAGAGACTAGAACCATATTTGTAGCAGTTACCATAGCAGCCTGTAAACATCAAAACATGTTTACAGCTGCTACGGTAACTGCAGCCTGACTCACTGTTGAAGTAGCCTCCGGTGGACATCAGAGGAACTGCAATTTTTCCTTGTACTCCGAAATTTACTCCGAAATACTTTTTTTTTTTGTTAACCCTAAAAGCTGCTTAAATTGTTACCACATCACTATGTTCAGCTCCTTTTACCTTAAATACTGACAATTTGAGTTATTTTAACAGACATGAACAGGACACGTGAGCGACACAGAAACCTTTCTAACAAGAATCATAAGGCACGTTACATGTGCTCATCCATAAGCCAGGTTTGTATTGATGAATGTGTTTACATGAATCAATAGTATTACCAAGCAAATCTGTTGACATGTAGCTACATCTGCACGTGCAGCAACACCCAAACAGATAAAAAACGTCTCATTCTGAATAATTTAAACACTTATGATGTTTAGGGTTTCTAAGTTCATAATTTTCTGTTTTCTTGTTAACATTTCTGCGTTTGTTGGACAAAAGAAAAAGGTTCCAGGAAGCTGTTACACACATTTTTAGGCTTTTTAGCTAAAATAAGAGCATCATGTTCATCAGTTAAAAGCTGTGCTGTTACAAAGTCTACTGCACATATTGGAAGTTGTTTCACAGAAAGTATTGTTGATACGGTTTATGTTGAATGACAGTTTGTCTAATGTTTGGGTAATAAAATGGTTAAAAAGTGTTCTGCATCTTATTTCATGTGTAAATAATAATTCGTTTGTTCAATGTAGATCAGGATTTGCAGAAACTATCAAAAGCCTTCACAACCAGGTGCAATGTTTGTGTGGTTTTTCCAGACTGTCATTGTAAATAAGAATATGATTTCATTACCTGGTTAAATAAAAGTTCACTGGCTTCAGGCACAATGTTGAGGTACAAAGTGATGCCACATGAAAGTACAGTTCAGTTTGAGTCGATATCTCTGCAACACAACATGTCATTTCTTCAAAGTCTGACTTAATTTTCTCACATTAAAACTAATTTTTAAACAAAGTATATTTAGGTATTTAAATCCAGAGAACTTCTCAGTACTAACCATTTCTGGCTTGAGAACCTCGTTATCGCTTGTTTTGTTTTTTCCTTCTTCTTTGGAAAAACAATTTGTAGGACTAAATATTGGCAATATTTATGGCTTTATCAGTGAGCAGGAAATTAGACTACTGGTTGATTTGGTTTGATTTTGTGATTTTATACGGAAAAGCTTGTTTTTAAAATCACATTTTCACACATGTATTTGTTTAATATAGCTTTTACTCTTAAACAATTACTATATTCATTTACATTTGATGGTTAGACACGCTTATTAAAATGGGGACGGGGGTACCGGAGCAAAAAGGCTCTGGTAGAAAAACATATACCTTTCTTCTTTTTTTCTTCTTTTTATAACGAACAAGAGACTCACAAAAACAACAAATAAAATAAATGTTAAAATGAAATATAAACGTGAGTTGATACAGGTTTCATCTCCCTAAGAAGGACAATCAAACGAGGAGTTATTGGGACGTTTTCATACCTGAAATTTGCTTGAAACAGTAAAAGGATACTTTGCACATGCGCACTATGGATTAATTCCAGCCCCCGCCATCACTTCCTGGTCTGTATCGGAGAGCGCACATCAGGTGAGCGGCTACATTCAGGTAAGCTAACGGTGGAGTCTAAGGTCCTGCCTCGAGCCCGCGGTGTGGATTGTTCTGCTTCAGATACACGCACGCGCTGGATTGGACAATGTCCCCCGCGGCCACCTTCCACGCGCAGCTCGCCTCCATCATGGAGGTGCTGGCCAACACGGCCGTGGCGGAGATCTGCGAGCTCGTGGACAGCGGCTACTCGGTGTTGCAGCTGGAGATCTCGCGGAGTCGCAAAGAAAATGAGGTGCTGCGGAGGAAACTGCGCCTAATGGAGCTGCGGGCCGCCCGAGCGACCGCACTGCGAGCCGCGGTTACCGCCAGCGGCAGCGCGGTGCTCCACGCGAGCGGCCGCGCACGAGCCGAACTGAAGAGGAACGCGACCGCGACAGGTAACCGACCGTTAACTTCTAAATTCACAGCAACTACACTGTAAAAACGAAAGGAAAACTTTTTGACCAGAGTGCAGCATGAACTCGATTAATTGATGCGGTCAGTTTGCTAACAGTTGTTAATCATTTCCAGCTGCTTTGGTGTCAATGAAATAAACAACAGAGTACAAAAAGAAATGTTTTATGTTTATTATTTTTCTGACTCTTTCCATTAGTTTTAGAGGTCAGTAGCACTTCTGATAGTATGAGGCGATTCCCGTGCCCTACCTGCAGAGTTTGCACAGGAAGTAAAACACCTCCAGACTGGCACATTAATACGTGCCATTGCCAGCAGTTTTGGTGTGTCTCCCAGCCCTGTCTCAAGAGCATGAAGGAGACTCTAGGAGAGCTGGACAGGGCAGTAGGAACCTTAAACCATCAGCAGAACCAGTATCTTCTCCTTTGTGTAAGGAGGAACAGAATGAGAACTGCCAGCAGGCCACTAGTGTGAATGTCTCTTACCAAGCAATCCGAAGCAGACCTTACGTGGGTAGCCTGAGGGCCTGAGTTCCTCTTCTGTGTTTATTGCCCAGCACTGTGAAGCTTGATTGGCATCAGCCATAGAATACCTGATTTGGCAGATCCCCCGCTGGCGCCCTGTGCTTTCCACAAACGAGGGCAGGCTCACCCTGAGCACACGTGATAGACGTGAAAAGGTGTGGAGACATCATGCCAAAATTTGGTGGTAGGTCAGTGATGGGAGGCATTGAGGGATGCACAGATGTCTACTGGCTAGCCAACGGCACCCTGACTGCTGCTAGGTAACGGGATGCAATCCTTGGACCCGCTGTCACAACCTGTACTGAAGTAGCGGGTTCTGGGTTCCTCCTGGTGCACGACAATCCCCGGCCTCATGCGATGAGTATGCAGGCGCTTCCTGGAAGATGAAGGAATTGATACCATCGACTGGTCCCCACGCTCGCTGGACCCAAAACCCAGTCGAACACATCTGGCGCATTGTTTTAATCCATCCAACACCTCAGACTGTCCAGGGTTTTTAAAGAACTGATGTAGATCAATTTGCAGAAGAAAAAGGACATAAAGGACAATAAAATCGCAGCAATGCACAGAAAAAAAACAACATTTACAGCTGTACATGATTCAGAACTTTAAACGCCATCCTCACGCCCCTCCTGCAGGTGAGGTAGTCTTGTCCAGAGTGTCCAATCAGGCGATGCCTCAGTGCAGAGACCACAACTCACCTGCAGAGCCGAGACAGGAAACCACACAGAGTACGGTGAGTAGAAAAGGTGGGAGGAGCATTAGCGGGATTTCCTCCCTCACTCTTCATTTTTAACCTCTCTCCTCCAATTCCAGCAGCCTGCAGATGCTACCACAGCTGCTGTGATCAAAGTGGAGGACGATGACTGCGTATCCTGGTCCCAGTCTGAGCCGGACAGTAAGTATAAGAACCTGAAGAGAGCCTTTTTCTTCCTGTTTGACTCAGTGTAGTCTTTTTAGTTTGTAGCTGGCTCATACAGAACAGATCTAAACCCCGATGGTGTCCAGTTTAAGCTGTGTAAGAGGCTACAACTCTTTCTGCTTTCCTTTTATCTCCAGAAGGTTTCTGTCATAATGAAGAGGGACAGGTGGAGGCAGAAGCTGCAATCAAACAGGAAGCAGCAAACGATGGTGGCATCTCGTGGACGAGCGGGGAAGTCAGCTCTACCTCCACCTCTGTCCAGAACACCCAGAGGTCAGAAACCAGCAGTTACGACTGTTTGATATTTGAGCCACAGCTTCAGCATGGCTCCCACACCACCCAAAATCCTCTGGGAGCGGAGGCCGGCTGCTCATCGGCGTCCAATTCAGGTGGCAGCTTCACATTCCCACACAGCAAGGTGAGTCTGTCTGCAGCAGAGCGACCTGCAGGTTTCCAGAGCAGCCAGCAGAGGGCGGTGCCTGCAGACGAGCTTCCTGTTAGGAAGGAGACGCCAGGAGAACATCGCTCCTTCATCCGGAGGGGCGGGTGGAGACAGGATGCCATCAGCAGAGCGGCAAGCCACAGAGGCGAGGATGGCGGGGGAAAGTCGTTCGTCTGTAACTGCTGCGGGAAAAAGCTCGCCTGCCTCAAGAACCTCAAAACCCACATGAGGGTCCACACCGGCGAGAAACCGTTCGTCTGTGCGCTCTGCGGTAAACGCTTCTCAGACTCCAGCAACCTCAAACGCCACCAGAGCGTCCACACGGGCGAGAAACGCTACGGCTGCGTCCACTGCGGCAAACGTTTTGCCCAGTCGGGATCGCTGAAGGTCCACATGACCGTCCACACAGACTGCAAACAGTTCAGGTGTTCGTACTGCAACAAGACATTCATATCAGGCAGCCACCTGCGGCGCCACATCACTCTCCATGCAGGAGAGAAACGGTTCGGCGCCGTGCAGTGACAGCTGGGAGAAGTGGCATTGCAGATATCTGCAGTGAGGTAGTCTCACAAACACGTGACCTACTGTAAAAATGTGTATCGTGTATGTTTGAACACAAAACAGATGTTCTTGGATCACCTGCAAACGTTTTCACGTGTTTCATTGGAACATATGGCAGCAGACAGTGTGGCCGCCGGGGATCGGCTCGATTTCAAGCCACTGCTTCCAGTTTTAATCAGACTTCTGAGTCGCTCTTAGTCTGGTCTTCTTCCCAGGTGAGGAGACACCTGGACAGATTAGGTCTTAATATTAATAATAACTTTATATAGCACTCTTCACCAGGTAAGAACTATGTACATAAAACAACACAATCGATCATACAGCACAAATCTAGTTAAAAGCCAGTCTAAATAAATGAGTCTTTAGCTGCTGTTTAAAAGAATAAATACAATCAAGGCAACGTAAAGATGGAGGCAAAGCGCTCCACATCCTGGGGGCCACCGCTCTGAGATCTGACTCCCGTGGTCTTTAAATGTGTTGGTGGGACTACCAACATCCTTTGATTAGATGATCTCAGGCTGCGAGAGGGAGCGTGGGGTTCTAAAAGACCGGAGATGTCGGCAGCAGCGTCACGACGTTAGAAGTCAGCACTACGAGTTTGAACTGGAAGCCAGTATACTGAGAATTAAACTGGTGTAATGTGCTGTCTTTTTGTTAAGAGCCTTGCAGCAGCAGGTTGGCTGGGGACATCCTCAGTGTCCCCCCAGAAGAGCTGGAGGCATCTGGTTCTCTGTCTAAACTTTGACCTTTGACCCAGGTAACAGAAGGAAGGCAAGAAAGGGCTTTGTGTCCATCAGGTATTTGTCTTGGGCGTCAAGGTTGTCATGTTTAATTAAAACTCAGCTTCAGTTAACTGTGTCCATGCTTACTAACCTAAAACCAAAATGTAATCGTACTTTCAGTAGTTTCAGTCTTTGTAAAGTTGCTGAACCCAAATAAAGCCCGAGGAGCTGTTGCACTTTGCCAGTAAAAACAAAGCAAATCCACAAAATCCAAAGCTAACAGCTCTGTTTGGATAAAGAGGATGGATACTGAAGTGTGGTCACATCTGCAGAGAAAGAACTGCTCAAAAGATCCTGAACTGAACTCTATGGAAAAAGGTAACAGCCAATGAAACTTCCATGAGGGGAAAAAGACTTGAAGTGTAGGGGCAACGTTTTTAGTGGATGGTGGTGTTTGATTTAAACTCAAAACTGTTTTAACAAGTGAATCCAAAGTGGGCGCCACAGCCTCCTGCCTGGGATGGGAACTCGTTTAAACTAAATAAATACAGTTTTGAAGCAATTGTATCTTAAAATTTCCATTAAACATTTACATTGAAGAAAACATCCATCCCACTGTCTCATTTGAAGTTGGGTCAAAGTGGTAGCAAGCTCAGGAGGGCACCTGAGACTTTCCTAGACTTCTGTTTCTCCAGCAATGGTTTCCAGCTCTTCCTGAGACGCTCCCAGGATAAATATCAAGTGCATTTCTGATTTCCTCTGGATCTATCGTCACCCATATGGGATTGGAAATCCTCCAAGGGGAGGTGCCGAGGAGGCATGCCGATTGTGTCCTGAACCTCCTCAGATGTAGGAACAGTAGATCTAGGTGGAGCTCCTCACCTCCATCTCTAAACTGCCGCCCATGTGGGCCGATGTGACGACCAGAGGTCGCCGACTGTTGAGTGAAGTTTAGATACAACAGGCCAAGTAAACAATAGTCTTTCCCTGAACTTGTATGTGAGCGATTAAAGAGACTACAGATCCTGAGAGCAGCTCCAACACCTGAGCTTTCTGTGCGGCTTCCCCCAACAATCCAAAGACGTTCAGTTATTGGGGGAATCTAAAGAGCCCATAGCTGTGAATGTCAATGGTTCTCGGTGTCTCTGTGTTAGCTACGTGTCAGGTTGGTGAGCTTTCTGTGGCAGCTGGGATAGGCTCCACCCTCTGATAAGAATAAGTGGAAGAGAACCTCTACTTCCTGTTTCAAATTTCACTGGTCATGGTGTCACCGGGCAGGGACCGAAAATAATCCTTCACAAGTCTTGTGGTTTTTCAGTAGCAGGTGTTTTATACAACGTTCATGTGTGAAACTAGCCTGCGGTTGTGTGAAGGTAACAAATGTTTATGACTGTACATCGAGTTTCATTGTGACTGACGTGTAACTGAAGAAACGTGAACGAACTTCCTTTTTCTTTTTTATCATTTTTAATAAAAGCAGCTGCTAAAATCAGAGCGCTCTGTTTTTGTTTTAAACTATTCTGATCACTTGAAATTTGATCCTTTAGGCGTCTCAGTTTTAACATGACAAAAGTGGAGAGACTGAGTCAGGTTTATTTTCTTTTTCCTTCCTCTACTTCCAGGTGATAAGATGTAGGTCTGAAAAGTGAAGCCGTAGAAGGAGCGCTTCAGTCTGGTGTTCCTTCTAACGGCCGACTGGGTGCGATTCGTGTGGCTGGTTGCTTCCACGTTCTGTGCCCTCAAACGCTTTCCTGACCAGGTTTCGGTTTTCTTAACTAGTTTAAACTTGTACTGAATTCAGCACAATATTATTTATTTTTTTAATACATTTTGGTCCCATTGAGAGCCAAAAAAGATAAAGCACAAAGTTTTGACTATATTAACACTACCTTCACCTTAAGGTAGCAGCTTGTTTGATTAGGATTTCAGGCTCGCTGCAGGGTGAAGGTCCAGCCAGTGATACTGAAGAAATTTGAGTTCATTCACCAACGATGTAATCATTAACAAAAACTAAAAAGTCTGAATCGCTTTCAGAAGCTGCCAATGGGACCATCACATGATCCCCAAGTTTTGCATGTTTTGCTGAGAAGCTGCAGCTTATGGCCACTTCCTGTTGGAGCCGTTAAAAAGAAAAAAGGTTAGACTGATTTAAGTTAACTTGAGAACCCACGAAAGTTCTCAAATTGATTTAAACTCACACATCAGCCAAATCTAAACGGACAGCATGGATGGACACGAGTAGATTTGATGAGATCTGTAAAGTTGGAATTTCTGAAATCTGTGGAAGATGATGGATTCCTGCTTGTGGGTTTTATTTCCTGGGCTGTTTCTCTGACAGTTCTCAGGTATTCGGGCTTTGCTTGCAGCTTCAGGTTCAGTCTAAACACATTAAAGCACACAACAGTCAAGACTCAACACTTGCAACTCTTTATGTGCAAAAGGAATCACCCGAGTGACTAGTTTCAGCTGTTGAACAGGTGTTAACTGACTACTCACACCTGACAGCTGACATTTTATGAAACCGTGAAATCCATGATCGTCAATTTAAATCCATTTAAAACAAAATACAGATACAGTTTGTCTTTGTAATATAGTTTAATGGATCATAAACATTCACCTTAGCTGAGACTAAATATAGCTGAAATCCCAAATACTGTAAAAGTTCATTCTCAAAGCACAGCGCCATCAACAGGCCAAAGGCTGATTTGCAGACTGAAACACAGCGATCCACACTGTAAGAAATAAGGATTACTTCATCCTTTAAACAGTCATTTCAGAGGCTGATTTCACACTGATTCACATGTATACATTCAGAATTTGTTCCTTTGCTTGAAGTTCAAATTAAATTTGCGTCTTGTTTAAGGTGAAATTTTACAGTTTAACTTCCAGAGACTCAAAGTACGATAAAATACAATAAAAAAAATAAAAAAAAGATACAATAAGTGCTGTTACAAGCAAGAATTCCACATGTGAAAATAAGTGCAGTCTATAGAAATTACAAAACTATTTACATTAACAGTAACTCCATATTTAGTAGTTCCTCCACACAGAATGTAAAATTTGTCTTTAAATCTATTAAAATTATTTTCCTCCTCAGGATTTTTCTGTCTTTTACTCTAAATTTTATATTTAGAAGACCACCATTAAAAACTTGATCCACTTTGAACTTTGTTTATTTAAAGCTGCACTGACTGATATTTGGCCAACAGGGGGCAGACCCAGAGAAACCATCTCTGGAGTTGCATTTTTAGCTCTGTTTTGGTCTCCTCCACCACCTGGAAAATATAAATTTTTGACCATAAAGCCAAAACTAGGATTTAGAAGAAGCTAAAAAAAAAAACTTCACACAGCTGGAAGTTACAACATTAAAAGCAAAACCTTTAACATTACAAAGATTTCATTGATCATTTGATTCATGATCTGTTCTTATACAAAAAGTATTAAGCACAGCTTTAAATTCAAAGTTGAGCAGAGCAGTATTAAAAACATCAGTACAACACATTGATTGCTGTTCATTGATAAAGTACATGTGGTAATACATCACCTGTAATGTTATCTTTAAACAAATTTGGCACTTGGATTAATTAACAATAATTCCTGATTTATGAAGACAGGGAGAGAGTTAACCACAAAGATTCAGTCACACCAGAGCTGAACACCTTGAAACTTTGGCTCCCTTAGTTGTGCTGGTAGTAATTAGCGATGAACGTTAAGTGCGTGATTAGCTAAAATGGCTAATTAGCTAAAGTTAATAAGCTATGGTAGAATAGCTTATTAACTTTATAAACATTACAACTGTCTTTTCTCGAAACTAGCTAGTTTGTCTGTATCTAGTTATAGTTTTATTTACCTTTATCAATTATATAATGTAAATTGTAAAAGAGTGCTGTTAGCTTTAGCATTTCCTGGCTGATAAGAATACTAGCTGTTAGCTAAACGCCTTTTAGGATTCACCGCAGTTATGATGTTAACGTCCCACCAAGTCGAAAATAACTGTTGTAAACGTTATTTCAGGCATCTAAAAAACCTTGAGATTTTGTTGAAAAGTGAAACATGAAAAGATACTAACTAAAAATTTGATGCCAACTTTGCTTTTACTCTTTATCCAGATTTTAGACAAAAGTAAAACAACGTGGGCATTTTGGGGGCTGTTTTTGTTGGGGTTTCTGTGCCCTCATCTGGTGTGACCGTTTTAACCCTTCATGCTACAGATGCGATGCCGCGTTCACGTCACATGAGAGGAACGTTGTCAGTGGAAAAGATTCCAGTCTTTATGGCTTGCTAGCATTAGTGAAAAATTCACAGCCGGAGTCTTATTATAGCATTCTAGGTGTAGATCTACACCTTAAATTGGTGTTTAACTACTTTAACCAACAGACTAGATAATAGTCTGATCTCGATAGTTTTCAGGATTAGGTCTCAGTTTTCCAGTTATAACTAAAACCCAGATGTTCACGTACACGTTAGAATCACATTTCTGTTAATTAATGCAGCTCCCATGTGACCTAACCCAGCATGATGAGGTTTTTTGTTTTCTTTTTTTATCCTAAAGGCTTCAAATGATCTGAACATGAAGAGTTAAACATTTCTCTGCTCCGCTAGTCAGTTTCCACAAACTTTATCACTCAAACATTTCAGCTTCACACCAGAGGAGCTGATCTGTGCTGCCGGAGGACCCAAAGCAGAGATCATCTCCTCCTTCTTCACTCTTGGCGTAGTTTGAGGCCCAAACATGATTCAATTTTTAAAAACTTTATAAGACAAAACATCTCGTAAAGCGCTACAGTACTTGGTTTTCTTACAAAGCTTCTACAGCGAGTATTTTGACTTTAAGAGATCTCTCCCAAATCCACAAACGTTCTCCCAGCTTATTGTTGAGTTTCTTCCATTTTCTGGAATTATTGCTCCTTATAAAGGCAAATTTGCTTTTAAAAATAAGAGCTTTATATGTGTTTGTGTAACCAGGTCATAAATAACATATTTGAACCTTCGACCTGTACGGATTACGTTTGTACCACATTAAAGTCTCCCAAGAATCAGACAAAAACAAACGGAGTGAAAGAAACCACTCAAAGGCAGAATGTTTGAACTTGATCTGCTTTTCTTACCTTTTTGTCTCTGTTCAACATATCTGTCAGTGCGTTTCAACAGCATCTCAGGGTTCCCTTTATTATTATCAGCATGTGAGCACTGCTGGCTGATTGAAGGCACCTAACAGCTGAAGAGTTTTACCACAAAATGCTGCAGAGAATAACTATCTGAAAATAGCTCTTTAACATTAAATATACACAATTTTCAAGCGTTTACTGCAAATTAAATGTGAGAATTTTTCTTCTGTAACAACCTCACATGATTTCTAGTGGCCAAGAGATGAGCAAATGCATAATGGACACTACTGTTACCTATTTTCTTTAAAACTGGGAAATAACCCAGATAAAATATATTTGGCCCGGATTCAGGCTAGATCCATCTTAAGTTCTGGACCGGATCCGTGCAACGGACCTGAGCTGGTGTCTTTTAGCACAATGGCCGAATACCGGTATGGATGCATTTTAATGATGTAAGCCAGATCCTGGAAATGAGCCTCTATGCTATGAGGTGGTTCTTGTCCAAGGAAGGTTTGGAAGGCAGCACATTCAAAATGCTTCAGGAGGATTCAGGAGTTCTTGTGGAAGTCTGAGCAGGCATCCAAGCACCTTATTGGTTTATAAAAAGCCCAGAAGCCTCAATATTGTTCTCGACATTCTTCATCCAGCTAAAGAAGTTCTAAACCCGGGGTGGGGATCTCCAGGCATCACGG